CAGCATTCATTTGTAGAAGTCAAAAGTCATCACACTCCCACTTCCAATTACTGAGTACTAATAATGTCATCAGAAAATCTAAAACCAAACTTGTTTTGGTCATTTTTAAATTTTCCAGTGCCCCCCCCCCTTTTCTGTTCTTCCCTGGCCTTCCATCTGTACATAACTATTACTATATTCCTTTAACCGTTACATTTGAGAATTTTAGCTCACTAACGACTTAAGCTCAGCCACTACGGGCTGCTGCACGTACTCCTACGTAATATCAGGCTGTCTTTCTCTACCGTTGCTTAGATCACAGTTTTCACACTTCTCCAAAAATGCCTTCTGCTTAGCGTGGTCCTACCCAGAACGGGGGCCGAGTGCTGTCACGTGCGAGGCTACGTACCGTCAAAATGTCTAATTCCGGACCAGGAGGGCAAATCCGGACACTGCTTTTTTGCATTTTTACATCAAATTACACAATGTAGGTTAATAATTTAGACAGATACTTTTCCGGGAGGCTCTGGAGATTTACATAATTAGTAGTTTCACATCTTAGGGCCGCCCAGAGAAGTGCAACTGGAATAATAGGACCCGACTAGTACATACACTGTGAAGCGGTACTTCAATGCGTGTGCCGCATAGCACCAATGCTAAGCCACGGTCACTAGATACAGCTTTAACGTCACTACGCTGGAGTCGAAAATTTTTAATATCATGCGGACTTTTGCGCGTAATATTGACTGTATGGTATTTCACTCGATCTCTCACTTGCAAACCTTAGTTAAAAATGCACTAAATTTTCAATTTTGACAAAGTCCTGTGAGGTCAAGATTGTTGTACACATTCTTATGGCGTATTTTGCGAAACCAATGTCCTTCTACAAAGATAGCACTGACTTTTGTAAAAGTTTCTTAACTGTTGTTAACAGCAGCAGTCAGCAGTGTTGTTGCTGTCGGAGCGCACCCACGCTCAGCGTCGTGCTGACTGCTGCTGCTGTTGTCAACAACAGTTGCTGTTGCTGTCGAAGCGCACCCACGCTCAGCGTCGTGCTGACTGCTGCTGCTGTCAACAACAACGCCGCTCCTCCGCGCGCCCGCCCCTACCACCGCTCTCTGTATCCGCTTTTGTTCTTCTTAGTTTCGGGCAGCACCCAGAAAATGGTATCCTTAAACCAAAGATTTTTCTTTAAAAAAAATACAAAGTAATTTTCGACCTTGGTTTAAGGTTTTTCCGTTAAATTCAAGGAAATTAATTTCGTCTAAGGAAATTTTTACTTTATTCTAACGTCGTTTGCCTTACGTTAAAGACAATTTTCCTTGTATTTTTTGGGGGTAAAAATAGCGTAGAAGCAACGCATCATGCCTTGTTTCAAGACTACCATTTTCTGGGTGGGCGTTCCATTGAATTACCCAATTAGTCTGCTAGTCGCTGTATGGTAAAGAGACTTAATTAAAGCTGCTAAGAACGTAGTTTCTTTACTAAAACATGTGACGTAACGATGTCTCAGACCCCACTCCCCCCCACGTCACGTACCGTCACGCTTTGCCCCCCCCTCTCCCCCCAAGCCCGTGACGTAATAGACTATCCCGCTGTAACAGTTAATCGCGATAGTCTCGAAAAACAAATGCACTGGAAGTCACCTTAAACCGGCTCCAGAGGTCTTATGATGCTAAAATATTGTACAAACGTAATGAATTAATTCCGATGAGAACTAGTTTGTCACTTTATAACAGATTCTAGGGCTCTAGGTAGGGTAAATTTCGTTTTGAAATAGCCGACTTCCGGTGCATTTGTTTTTCGAGAAGCACGAGCGGAATAGTCTATATGTGGACGACCCCTAATGGCCGTAAATTGTAAGACTAAGCGGTTTTTCTTCGCAATTTTTTATTTAATTTAATATTATGGTCCAAAGGGGTCTACT